TGGCGAAGATAAAGACCATTATATAGTAATGAAGCTGTGATAAGAGTCTATTATAACACCAAAAATAATAGACTAAATTTAATTCTACTTAAACAAATGGCTTTCACTTTGGTTATGACCACTTATTTAAGTATTATGAATAATAAAATAATCATGTGCAATTTGAATGTTACACATCACCTTTGGGCAGGAGTGAAACATTTAAATTTTAATCCACATATATATTTAGTTCGCAGTACACAATTATAACACATCATCTTTGGACAGAAGTGAAATATTATGTATTTAAGGCGAATGTCATGTAAATATCTATTTAAGGATATGTACTAAATGACAGTGATTAATAAGACTTGAAATAAATTTTACAAATATTACACATCACCTTTGGGCAGAAGTGTATTCTAAGGTATTATTCAAATCAAGCAAAATAAATCAATTTAACTAATCATAAAAAATAAATTTTATTTAAGATTAGTCAAATGATTTATAATTTATTGTTAATAATTAATTAGCCACAAAAGTTAAAGCGGTTCGGTGCGGGGCTACGAAAAATTGAGGACCCATTAAGATTAATTTAATTAGAAAATCAAAAGGCGTATAAGGCAGGAGATTTTCCAACAAGTAAACATTTTAATTTTTTTTTAAAATGGTGTTTTAGCATATTCCTTACTTAGTTTTGCTATTCTAGGTAAAAATAAATTAATAAATAAGGAAACAGAATACATTATGCAATATTAAGATATGCCATACAGTTTAAGGAAACAAAATTATGTTTCAAATCAAATACCAAAATAGGAGGATTTCATCAAAATAAGGATGATTTCCATAAACATATTATCAAATTTATACTTATTGGGCTGAGATTGAATCAAAATAAAACGATAACTTCCGATCCAAACTTTGATCAAAAACCCCCTTTTTTTATTACTGGAATTGAATCAAACACGGTAATCTCAATGATTAATTTTCAAATTTGATCCCAAATTTAGGAGATGGAGAGATTAAAGTGTATGATGACTTTTAGCACAAGCTATAACTACTGCACGATGGTTTGGAAACTCTATAATGGCATAAACGTGATAATCCAGATCGGAAAAAAAAACAAGTATTTCAAAAGAATTTTCACAGTTTATAGTTTCCGATTACAGTTCAGAAAAAATAAGGAATTGATTTATCTACATAATGCTCCGATACCACATGTTGATCAATTCTTAAACATAAAATATAAATTAGGGATTTAATCATGTGTACCTGATAATCCTGTAAACGTAGTTAGGGATGAAGCCATGATTCTCACGCAGATCGAGTTCCCGTTTAGGGTGTATCGTTATGATGGCTAAGGTGAGGAAGACTCACGAGAATAGAGAGGCAGAGAGGAGGCGTAAGATTGGTGTGTTAATCTCTGCCTAATGACCTTTATATATATACACCCAAGGACCTTTATATATATACACCCAAGGGGAAACCCTAATTAGGTCATAAGGGTAATTACGTCCATCGAATAATTACCAATTAAGTACGTAGGGTATTTATTAGGTCAATGATCAATTAATTAGATAAATGATAACTCAGGCCACATAATAAAATCGTGTCTAACACAAATCTCATCATCTTCTTCAATAAAATCAAATCGTTTGATCTTCTTCAACGAAACCAAAATCGAAAAACAAAGTGTAATTATAAGTGAATCTCATCTTATCTCGCTCAAGAAAATAAAATCTAGGGTTGAGATGAAAAGAAGATGAAAAAGAAATCAATGTCAAATCCCAATTTCTCCTTATTTTCTTTCTTTAATGTTATTATCTCTGTTTTTTTGCTTCTACATCTCTATTTTCTGCTATGTGCTAACGCTTAATTATATAAGTTAAACTTTTGATTGTTTGTATAAATTGATATGTATTCTAGATTTCATCAATTTCAGGTGAGAAATACTTTTTTTGAATGCTCGGGCGAAATTCTAATTCCTAAACGTGGGCAGCAACCGTCCAGAACAAAAGCTCTCATTGGTATCTGTGAATTCGGTATGTCAAATTGATTCGGTCAGTGTATCAAATATGTGTTTGAATTGGAAATAGAAATTACATGAAAATAGTGATAATTTTAATACCTATTTATTTCAAGATTAGGATTAACCCTTTAAAATTGATTAATTATATCCGTTTGGGGTTCAGATCTCTATTTTGAAAGACAATTGCATTGTGTTGGTGTTCTAAAATAAAAATCGTGTATTTGATCAAATTTGTCATTGTAATACAGAATAATTTATTTACATTCATTCGTAGCACCATATTTTCTTAACTTTTTGTTTGCCACAACCAAGATTACCCATCTCCTTTAATTTCGAAAATTATCCCGACCGGTGAGTGTGAGGGTTAAAGTGATATGAGTATCAATTATATCAAGAAAATATTTATTGATAAATTTGTAAGTTATAATTTCATTTTTTTTGGTTGGTCTTTTTTGGTGGTGTTCATTTCAGGCTGAATGAATTTATTCTCTTTAATTTGTATATTGTTATGAGCTTATGAAAGTAATTTTATTTTAATTGAGATGCTTCATCTCTTATTCACTGAAAGTGGTAACTATTCAGGGTAAAGGTAAGTAGCCTCTGTTCTTAGTTAATGCTCCTCCATATCGAAAATGAATCTAATTTACAGCGCAATTTCTGTAGAAGGCGATGCTCTCCATTAGATGATTTCCAGGGTAATTCTTAATTTTGGCAATTTTACGCATATTTAATTTGTATTCTTCCGAGATTTTACAGTTCATATTGATTGTATAGCAAAACCATTAATTTTAGCTTTACATGGCACAATCCTGACATTTGTTTGTTTGGTTAAGTTGATCTTGGATCTACTATTTGGTATGTTTTTTAAACAATATTAGTGTTAAAAATCAATACTGGAGCTCACACCTATTGTTGCTTCGATGGCCAGTGAGAGACAGAGCTGCCAACCAGAAACCGATTCTGGACTGTCTTTTCTGGAGCAGAGTGGAAGGGGGGTACTCGCTGGAAGGGAACTTCAAGAGGCGGTGGAACATCATATTCAAGGTAAGCTCAATGTCATAACATGGAATCTCCTGACCTAAAAAAGCCCTAGATTATCTTCAGTTGCTCGAAATATATTTACAGAGTATTTTTTTTACTCAAATTTTATTCCAATTACTCCTATTTGTGAAAATTGGGCGTGTGTGATTACATACATCATTTAGAATCATAATATGTGAGTTAATGGCACGAGAAAAACACTCTAAGGCTCAGATCCAAAAGATTACATTGTTCATTTATACAAGTACAAAATTGAAAGCTAATAGATCAAAGCTCTCTGTTTATGTTTTGATTCATTTTTTTTTGTGGTTTCCACAAATTGGTTGAAAAAAAAAAGAAATGGGATTGTACAATACTTTTTCATGCCGTTGGGCAAACAAGGCTCTGGATTTAGATCTTTTCAGAATGAAGTCACTAAAAATATTGGCTTCTAAAGAAACAATATGAGGTATACTTGCGATCCTATTACTGAGTATGCTAATGATTTCAACTATTCTGCAGAGATTTTTTTCATGTTGATGGATACACATTGGAGCAATTAATGTTGATGCTAATCATTAGGGGTTTTCATTTTGAAGATGTCAAGATGATAGACAACTCTAGATGTCATCAAAGAATGATGAAGAACGACTTAGCTCGGAATTTTTCTAAATGGACTTTGCAATTGGGATAAAGAATATAATCATATTCACACTTTTTATGTGCTTGAGATTACTTTGCTATCCTATATATGGGGATCCTTAGTTGATGAATATTTTAAAATTTTTGATCATTTTCTTTTCAAGAGAAATGAAAGTATCGTATATCGTTTGTTCCAACACATACGAGATGCAGAGAGTGAGAAAAGTAAATCTTAAGTCTTTTTTGGTATGCTTAAGTGCTAGGATTTTTGTTAAATTTTAACAAAAATAGAAAATCTTATTAAGATAACACTTCTAATATTATTTTTTATCTTATCATGGATGACGATTATAGGTCATTGTTTGAGAGTTGAATTTCACTTTCTTTCTCTAGGCAATATTTGTTATCTTCTCATCGCTGAGGATTATGAGGTGCGACATTTTACAATTAGCATTAAATTCTCTACAAGTCTCATAGGTGGGCTTACATCAAATTGAATATGAACACATGCACTATATGCTCATAGTCTGGAATTGCATGTGCAGCAAATCCTATTGTCTCGAAGACTTTTTTGAAAGAAAATTTTGTTCATTTCCTATGTTAAAAAACAACAACAAAGCCATGGTACACTTTGATAAATCTGAAAATTAAATCACCCACTTGCCTAAAGCAATAATAATATGGAGCATATTAATTCCTAAAGTACATAGTATCCATGCTGTGTAGAAATTATTGATTTTTTAGAAAGCTCCACATCGCTTGAGTTCCTTTCTCTCTTTTTTTTTTGCTAAAGATATAAGAATATAATGATTCTCAAATGCTATATATTTAGGAATAGACTATGCAGTAGATTGTTGGGCTACATTTCATTCTTTTTTAGAAATATTAGGAGTGCTTTTTGGATCATTGTTTGCTATTTGGGTCTCATATAGAGGTCGGATTATTTTTTATTGCTTTAAATATTTTTTGACCTTATTTGATATGTATGTACCTCCTCCCAAATTATTTGGTGTTATATTTTGCTAGTACTCAAAAATATCAGCACACTGTATTCAAATGAATGTGAATCTTTTAAACTAGGCTTAGGTAATCAATTTGATTTTTGTACAGAATCTCTAATCATTTATGGACTGCTTTTTTCCAATTGGATACCAATGATTTTTCTTTGATTAACAATTACTACTTGATAAAATTATCGCCTCATTTAGCTAATGCTTAGTGTTTGGAGAATTTTGTTTATCAAAATTCTGGGATTACCAACCAGGCTCTTAGATTTGTAATCATGCCTCAAATTAATTTTTTTGGACCATTTCATCTTAGTTGTGTTAACGTATTTGCTCATTGCACTTTCTTTGATATCCAGTGGCTTCCGTAGCCACTGGATTCTAGTGGCTCTAGAACCGGCCTCTTAAACAATTATTGAGGTCACTATTGTAATTTGTTCAATTTTCAAGCATTAACTTCGAAAAAATAATAGAGTAAAAAACACATCCGTTCCATCCGTGCATGACACGGGTTAAAAAACCGTCAGATCCTGGATTACCGGTTAAGTTTCAAAGAAGACAATTTCCAATATCTGTATGTTTTGGAATGACAATCAATAAGAGTCAAGACCAAACATTATCATTTGTTAGATTATTATTGACCAAATTGGTATTCAGTCACGGTCAACTTTATATTGCAATTTAATGAGTGAAAACTAAGAAAGGATTGAAAGTGTTAGTTTTAGATGACAATGGTAATCCTTGCAATTGCACCAAATTTGGATTTGATTAATACATTCATACGTTCTTTTCAATTTTTATATACATGAAATTGAGTTAGCATACTCTGCTTATGTCGTATCTAACATTCTATATTATATTTACCTTTATTCTTTAATTATTTTCTTAAAATGAAAAATTAACAGAGTTAAAAATAACATGCGTTCGACCCCGTGCATTACACGGGTTAAATACTAGTATACTAAAAGAATAAAGTATAGTAATATACTTTATTCTTTTAGTACTAGTATACTTACATTTATAACTTATAAACAAACATTTATAATATAACTTAGTAAAAAACTTATATTATAAACTAAAATAACATAACAAAGGGAGGTTGAATAAAAAGTAAATATTTTTTTGGGTTTTTATTTTTCTTATTTTTATGGTTTTTTTTATAAAATGGGGGAAAGAAGCTCTGAATATAATCAACTTCTTCAACCAAGGTAACCCAAAAAACACCGCCGAGAACCCGAAACAAAATGAAAAAGAGAACAAACACAAGTTGAACATTACACGTATAAATGGTATAATAGACACGTAGACAATATATTACGTAACTTACGCACTTAAAAATAGAAAATAATTCAAAGGCTCAAGTTGAAAGATATCCTTGACCACACATAGAGGATCGTCAACTCTTTATAAGGCCCGGCCCGGAGTCAAGAATTCAAAGGCCTTTTGGATCACTTAGAACCCCCACTCACCTCAAGCGCTTAAACAATGATTCCAAAAGATGAAAAAGTTTATAAAAGAGCGAATCTTTATTTCATTCTAACTCTCATGCATAATTTAATCACAAAGAATATTTTATACACTTTAATAAACTTTAACGTCTAATGATGAAAATATTTTGCAAGTTTCCTTGAACAACTCAAACATAAGAATTTTAGTCTATTCACATAAGAAAACATTACATATTTTCAAAAACATAAAAATTGTTTTTGTGCTTAAAAAACTTTAAATTTTATGAAAATCAATAAACAGACACACGACAAAACAATCACTCAATAACGAATCTTAAGGAAAATGTCCAACTTATGGGGCTAAGAAATTCATAAACCTTAAAATTTTACAAAACACACAACGAAGAATCAAGTATGAATTTGGAATTAATTTAATTATAATATGGAGCTAAAATAGATTTAATGAAAACCAAATTCGACATACCAACCTACTTATGAAATCAAATCGTGCGATTCAACCAAGGCAACAACAATTTGTACAAGAATGGTAGAAAACTAATATGAATCAATTTTCATTCATAAGGGATTTAGTATAAACATAAAAAATCCAAAAAAAAGAACATCAACCATATTTTTTAGAATCTTTCAAAATTAACACAAACAAAGGAAAAAAGTGTAAACTTGAATTGAAACAACAAGAAATTGGAGAAAGAAAAGGAAATTGGCAAATATAGGGTTAGCAATTTGAAAAAGATAAAGAACTTCAAGAAATTGGAGCTAGAGTAGGTCCCTACCGCTGCCGCCACCTGCCTTCGTAGAACGCCGGCGAGTCGTCCATGGCCGCCGTCTGCATCTCCGCCGGTGGGTCGCGTTAATAGCAGCGGCAAGAGCTGCTGCTCTGTTGTTTAAGTATGATTCCCCCTTGTGTTTTCCCCCCTTGTGCTTTCCCCCTCCTTCATGTGTGTCGATTCTCTTAAATTTATAGCAAAGAAGAGCTAAATTCTTCCCGTTGATAATTGAGGAGGAGACGTTGCAGGAATTGGTCGCCGGTTTAACGCTAAGAAGATGAAGTTTCTGGTTTTTTTTCTTTCTTTCTTGCGACTAAAGAGGGAGGAGAGAAGTGGGTTGATTCTTTAATTTGTTGATTTAATGATGGGTTTTGGGCTCCGGCTCAAAATCAATCTTATCTTTTTAAACTTGAACTGCACTTTGTCTTTTGCTATACTTTTTTCCAAAAAATAAGATTTCTGATAATTTGGGTTAGGAAAAAATAAAATAAAAATAATAAGTTGTTAAAAAATGATTAAAAAGATACTATTTATGAGAGAAAAATAAAATACTGTAAAAATAAAAATTAAAATAAAACTAAGCTAAACAACTAAAAATCAAACACTAAAAATATTAAAAATGACTAAAAAAGAATAAAAAGAACTAACTCATACCCGACTTATCAATACAATATTATCAAACTATATAGAAAAAAATTAAAAAGATATAATATAACCAGTCCATCGATCCAAATCGAAACCCGGTGGATCGGACCGGACCGGACCGAAACTCGAATAAGGAAATAATGTGGATCGGAGACCGGACCGAATAAGGACCGGTCCGGTCCGGTTTTGGCCAGGTTTTGGGTCGGTCCGGGTCGGATGAAATAATGCACACCCCTACTCCAAATAAGAAATGGGCTTGAAATTTCTAACGTTTAACTCATCTGACTTGAGGGACATCCCACCATTAGATTTGATCTAATTTGACTAGTTTAATCTCATTAACTTATAAGCGAGTGTTTAAAATTCTTTTTGGTTTAGGTTCTCTTCCGTACGCCTGATTTTTGAAGTTCAGATCTGATATGATCTATTTGGGTCTGATCTGATCTGATGGATCTGATCTGATCTAATCTGAATTGATTGAATCTGATTTTATCTAAATAGATCTGGTGTAAATGAATTTAAATTTGATTTAAATACAAAAAAGTAAAATAAGAAAATCAGCTAATCATTGATATGTTTAAACTTTTTTAAAAATATTAAACATTTTTTCAATATCACAACCTTTTAAATTTTTGTAAACATGAAAGAATCGGTATTAAAATAACCAAATATTTGAAAATATTGATCTATTCTACAAAAATATCACATTCTATATGCATATTACATAACAATATATTTTATGTTACAAATTAAAAATTATTTAAAATTTTAAACACTAATATCTGTTTCACCTCTATCAATTTTGTCATAAACTCACCCTTATGTATATTATATCATCTTAAAGTTTAAAAGTAAGTCTTTTTAAGTATAAAATATTTATGGTATTGAAAACTAAGTTTTGAATAATTATTTTATAAACAAGTATTTTTAAAATAACTCTTTTTAAAGTATGAATAATACAAATTTTTAAGCTTTAATATTGCTTCCATGCATCATTTCTATCCTACAAGCTTAACAATTATTTAAAATAATGGTTTGTAGTTGAAATATTATAATATTAACAATAATATAACAAAAATAATAATTAAAATTATAATATTAATTAATATTTTTGTGTGTGTAATTTTAAATAAAGTAATATGATTTAATCAAATAATAGTAATTCTTATTTAATACTTGTAAAATATAAATATTATTTTTTATATTTTTTCTTGATTTGATATTATTCGATTTGATCTGATCTGATCTAATTGGATCTGGTCTGATTGGATTTGATATGATTTGATCTAAACTGTTTAGATCTAGTTTGATATGATTGAGTTTGATATGATGTGATGAAATCTGATCTGATCTGATTAGGTTTGGTCTGGTCTGATTAGATTTTAATAAGAATAAGTAATAAGTAGAAAAAATAAGTCCTATAGAAGGGACCCTTAGTATAATCTAATATGACATGATGTCTTATTATCAAATTACAAATATGATCTAATAATTTGATATGATCTAGTTCTAATAACAATAAATAATAAGTTGAATAAAACAAGTTCTCAATTTAATACTCGTATTACTCTATGATAAATATGATAGAGTTTATTGCACCAATATCCTAGGTTTGATAAATGTGTATTGTTACCTCCATAGTTTCACAACTTACGCTATTGCCCCTCATAATTTTGATATTACTACACCAATGCCCTTCGTTGCCCCTATAGTTTTGGAAATGGGCACCACGCCCCTCTTTTTTATTTTATTGTTTTTCTTTTTCTACTATTTTTTCATGAATGTTTTTTAGTTGTTTTTTAAAAATTATTTTTATAATGTTTAAAAAAATTCGAAATTTTTACGATTGCAATAAAAGATCATCACCTGGTGGGATAACATAACACCCCAACTCGTGTAACCCGAACCAACGAGTTAACGAATCGGATTGTTACTAAATTGGTATCCAAACACAATAATTTTAAACATTTAAACAACACCAAGGTTCCCATGACATTGGAATCCAATGTCATGGGATGACCCGGGGGCGCTCCGGTGCCTCGTTCGTAAAATTGACGGTTCCTAACCCCCCGGTAAACCCCCCCCCACCCCGCCCTGACCCAAACACACCCCCTACCCCCGTCAATTGCACCCCACATGGTTGTGCGCTCTCTCAATGTACATGATGATCCGTTCCAACATTGTGAAGATGATGAAGAAATACTCGGTCTAGAAATACCATACTTGAGTGTTATTGGAGCTTTGATGTATCTAGAAAACAACACTCGACCAGATATTGCATTTTCAGTGAACTTGTTAGTCAGACACAACTTGACCCCGACTAGGAGGCATTAAAATCGCATTAAACATATTTTGCAATATCTCAATGGTACCTTCGACCTTGGTTTATTCTACCGCAAAGGTGCCAAGGCCACTCTTGTTGGATATGTTAATGCATGATATTTGTCTGATCCAAAAAAGGCAAAATCTCAAACAGGACATGTGTTTACTTATGGAGATACCGCAATATCATGGAGATCGATGAAGCAAACTTTGACTACCACATCATCAAATCACGCAGAGTTAATTGCTCACTGCGAAATATGTAGAGAATGTGTATGGTTGTGATCAATGATCCAACATATCCAGAGCGAGTGCGGTATGGAAACAATTACTAGTTATCCTACTCCTGTATATGAAGACAACACTACATGCATTGCTCAAGTGAAATGAGGTTACATCAAAAGAGACCGAACAAAGAATATATCACCAAAGTTCTTCTTAACACATGATCTTGAGAAAAATGGAAAGGTTGACATTAAGCAAATCAAGTCGAGTGAGAACCCCGTTGATTTATTTACAAAAGCGTTGCTCCCGAAGAAATTTGAAGAGCTCGTATACAAGATTGACATGCGTCGCCTCCGTTAATTATGCTAAGCTGAGGGGGAGAGTTTTATGAACTGTACTCTTTTTCCCTTGATCAGGTTTTATCCCACTGGGTTTTTCTTGACAAAGTTTTTAACGAGGCAATGCATAAAATTAGAATGAGTTCCTAAACTATGCCCATTTCACAAAGTATCCATCATTAATTAAAAAATGAACATTCAAGGAAGAGTGTTATGAAATTAATGATTGTTCATTTATTCAATTAATCAGGCATACTTTCTAGAATAGTAGATTAAGACATCATTTATTCAATATTCAATTTATATTGCATATTAGCATAATGAAATACAATTTTGAAAGATCTCGATATGATAAATCCAATAAAGTTATTTTTATGTTAAAATACATTACAATTTTTATTTAATTTAAGTTCAAAGTTTGTCCAGTTTGACTCGGAAAAGTCAAACTGGACAAATAACTGCGATGGAGTGATTATTTAACACTCCGTAAGCAGTATTTTATGATTTTTTTACGGGTTACAGAAATAAGGAATAAATATTTCCGCGGCAATCCTAAGGGTACACCAACATGGAGTACCCCAAATGTACACCAAGCTAACACAGACACAAAATGTCTGTGCAACACAGACACTGTGTCTGTGTGTGTCTGTGTTGGCTTTGTTTTACACTTCCGTACCCATGGTTTACCCTAGCCTAATTCATATTTCCGGAAATTACTAAGTCTAAGGCTGCTGAAATTGCAAACCAGGATCAGATTCACTTTCAAGTTTCAAGACAAACACTAGGGTTTTGGCTTCAAACATTGGAGCTCCTCCTCATGGCGGCAACCGTAAGAGGTCTTCCGCTCCGTTTACAACGGTGTCCAGCCAATTTCGTTCCGGGTACTTCTTTCTCCAGTTCCCATGGGCAAACCAAAAATTCAGACATCCTGAATCATATCAAGAAGAAACTAGCTGATTCGCCAAGCTGTTCTGCCCCTCCGTCGCCACGTGTTTCTCCGCCAATTACTTCATTTCGGGAGATTTACGATCGGAGTTTAGCCCCCAAGGAAAAAGAATCCAGGCCCGATGGCGCAAAGCCTGTCACCTACAAGCTTGGCTTGGACAGTATTACCAAGAACTTGAATCGGCTCAGAGAAAGTAGTCAAGGTGCTGCTCAGGGGAAAAACCATAATCAGTTTTCACTTTCTACATTAAGGGGCAATTTAGGGCTGAGGCTTGGTGATCAGAGCACAGCAGAAAAGGGGGTACCAATTGGTAGCCACAAGTTTCCAACCTCTGTAGGTGACAAGGGTAGCAATGATTTGAAAGGTGGGTATGACAGAGGAGCTGTGGAAGAGTCATTTGAGCTCCCGTATGATCACAATGAGCTGGGGCAGAAATTGATAAAATTGAGGCCGGATCACTTGGGAAACAAGAATTGGTTTTCATTACAAGAATTGAATGATAGATTACTGAAAGTTAGGGAGATCGCCAAGGAAGAGTACAAGGCTAAAAACACTGGAGAGTTAGCGATGCTGAGGAGTAACTTGAAGTCAATAGAAAAAATTGGAACTGCTGCTAAGAATGAGATCAGCCACTGTAGGTTCTGAAATTGATCTTTAACTTATATGTATTGCCTTCATTATTTTTGTTTTCGTTATCCAATGCCATAGTGATTCAGATAAGGCACTTGTTCTGTGCTCAATGCCCAGGCTTTGACTAATATTTGTTAATGAACATTAATGCAAGAAAAAGATAAGCACCAGTGCATGATTTTTCTGGGGTGTCTGGCATTTTAAACTTATTCTGGTGAAGGTTGAAATAACATGCATTTTTTTCTTTTCTTAGCAAAAGCTTCACAATATTAGAGTATCAATTCTATTGATTTTGGTTGAGAACTCACTTTTTCTTAATATTGGTTCAACTAGATGGGGCTGTGGATATGACACGCCTATTTGGAGAAAAGTCAGAATACTTATCACATCCTCCCAAGGAGCACTTAGTTGAAAAGGTGAGTTTCATTTCATTATGTTTCTCTCATAACTTTGGAACCAGTTTCATGTATCCTTTTTCTTGCACTTGCCGGGCTTCACACACACAACACAACCCCCCTCCCCCCCGCACAAAGGTCCTTACATAAATTTGAAGTCATATGGATAACCGTTAAGCTCTACCATAATGGCATTTGCCATTCAACTTTAATATGTGTCTTGTTTTATATTCCCTCCGTCCCTAAATGAATGTCTTGGTTTGACTATCGCGGGGTTTAAGAAAAAGTGAAATTGGATGGTGGAGGTTTATGCAAAGCATAAAGAAATTTTGTGAACCACTCATTTCTTTCCATAAATGCAATGAGACATATTTTGGGACAACTAAAAAAGAAAATTAGGACATTTTTTTCAGGGACAGAGTGAATGTGTGTGTGTGTGTGTTAAGCCTGATGGGTAGCCATGAGGACGATGGGTTAAGGATTTGATGAATCTGTGTTGGATAGCATGTCCAAGTGCTCTACTGAATCCTTACATACCCAGGACAAAGTGTAGAGGGCATATGGGGTCACCTTGTTTCACCTCTCTCCTCCTGCTAAAACCCCCCTGGGACTGCCATTGATCAAGATGGATATCTTGGTAGCATCAAGGTTTCCCAACATGAGCTTGGTGACCAGGTCATTGATGCCCAACTTTCTATGGACCTGCTGCATATATGCCCCTGATTTTGTCAAAAAGCCCTTGCCATGTCAAGCTTAATGATTGTGTTACCACCCACCACAATCCTATCCAACTGGTGAGCAAGTTCCTGAGCCAGCAGAATCTGATCATCCACTGACTTACCCTTCTGAAAGCCAGCTTGCTCAGGGCTAATTACTTTGTGAAGTAGGGAGTTCATCTTACGGACAGTATTCTTGTATTGATTTTGCTCTTTAAAGTGGAAAGTGAAATAGGTCTGAAATCTGTCTATTAGAGGCATCTTCTGTTTTGGGGATTAGGGTAAGAATTGTGCTTCCATCTGCTTTAGGGACTTTCACACCAAGATAGAACTCTGGACATGATTTATGGGGATCATCCTTGATAGATTCCCAACATCATCTTAAAAATCTGCCATTGAACTCATCTGGTCCACTGGCTGGCTGCATTCTCTTTCAGGTTCCACACTGCATCCTTCACCTTCTCAAGGTTAGGGAGGTTGCTCCTATGGTTGTTGTCTGCATCATCAATAACAGTAGGGATGTATTGCAGTATGGGATCAAGAATAGGGTATGAGGTTCACTATAAAGTTTAGAAAAGTTGTCCACATCCAGGTCTCCAATAGTGGATTGAGACTCATGAGACTCATGTTTGGTGCCATTATCATTCTTAATCATTCTAATATTCAGCTTGGATCTTCTCCCCTTAACATAGGCATGATAGAATTTAGAGTTGGCATCTCCTTACAACCATTTCATTTTGATGCCGGAAGGTGACTTCCCTTTTGCTTTCCATGAGAAGCTTAGCAGCAGCTTGATTGGCCCCCATTCTGAGAATATCATGGAATCCTCCTCATGTCTGGCCTGAGTTTCACTGACCAATCATTCTGCTTCCTTAATGCCACTAATTATATCACCAAAATGTTCCTTCCTTAATGCCACTAATTATATCACCAAATTGTTCCTTATTCCATGCTTTAAGAGTGCTTTTGAGGTCTCTCAACTGGAGAGCAAAGCTTTGCATCCCTCCCACATTGGGCTCCTTCCTCCAGCAGTTTCTGATCACATTTTTGAAGTCCTTGTCGCTGAACCAGCAATTATCAAACCTGAACATTTAGGACCACAAAACTCCTCCTTGGTGCACTCCAAAATAATAGGCTTGTAGTCTGAGCCACTCTTGGTCAAGTGAGAGAGAGACATAAGGGAAGAATGTAAAAAAATCTCATTGTTGACAAGTACCTTATGTCCCTATCAAGGCGCCTCCACACTTTGCCTTGTGATCTGATGCCAGTCCATGTAAATAAACGTCCATTGGGATCAATGTTGTTTAGGTTTTCAATGCAGTCTTGAAAATCACCTGTCTTTTGTGGAAGGAACCACCTATCCTTTTTGTTCTTCCAGGGAGGCAATGACATTAAAGGCACCTCCTACCATGCAATTGCAATTTGCTGGCATATTGGTTGCTTTTGCTTCTCCAGAGTTCTTCCCTTTCCAGGGCTGTATGCCTCTCATATACAGTGGAAATATGGAAGATATCATCAAGAATGGGGCTTTGAAACTCCACGGTGATCAACTGAGATCCTAGCTTACAAGACTTCCTCACCACCAGTGAAGAGTCATTCCAAAAAAGCCACACTGTTATCTAACGCAGCCTTAAAATTCTGGCAACCAAGTTCCAAACCAAATCCATTGATCTTAGATGCATGTACAGCAGGCTCCAAAATCAAATTATGAACTTTAACAAGGGAAATAAGTCAATGTAACGAGCTATCAACACCACAACTATTCCAGAACAGCATCTTCAAGGACACTGAATTTAATTGAGCTTGAGCTGTCTTCATACTATGCCTTTGAACTACTCGAGGCCTAGTTTGTCCTTTATCTACCCCTCCCCCCCATCGGGAGCACCATTGAAAGGGTTTGCATTTACTGATATCAATCTCAAGTGGTTACAGGTTAGAGTGATCAATAATTTTTTCACCATCTTCCTTAGAGTTCATGCGAGTATCCCCGATGGCCTCAAGGCCAGCCTGCCTTATGCCCATGCATTCTCGTAAAAATGCATATCCATGTATATTCATGCATAGTTCACCCTTGCTTCCATGTTTAATTGGCCGTCCCTCCTGAGTACCAATAAGCCATCAACGGTAGGGTTTTCCAAATAGTCAAAGAAAGGGTCTTCAGTCCATATTTTTAGTGATGACGCAACCTTCTCCGTCCTCCCACCAGCTAAGTTTTTAGGAGAAAAGTGAATAAGGCTGATGCTCCCCGGTTCGCCATGGGGCCCAATGTCTTCTTGGGATAGAATAAATGCGTAATGTCCTTGTACTATTTTCACATTATGAGCAGAAGATGTGGACATTTGAGGGACCCCCATGACAAACCTCTTTGTGAATGATTTGAGGTATTTTAACCTGATATTTAGTTGATAGGTTGCAGGAATCTTGATCAATTTATTAGATGGGGCCCACTTCTGTGAATGCCCCAGATGTTTTAGGAGTTGGCTGTTAGCTCTTCTCTTTGAAATGATGGTCGTCCATCAATCTTTGTCTGCTACGAAGACATTTTTACCGCTGTCTGCTCCTTTGCTGGGGCAAATATTTCCAGTGGTTTTTGCATCCAAATTCCGGCCACCTATAGAGAAACAAACATGACCAAATCTCTTGCATGTGATGCTCCACCGGAACTCTGGAAGGGAAGCTGCATCATTCCCCATTCTTACCTTAATAGACGTTTCCAAGGGCTTTGATATGTCCACCTCAATAAGGACTGTGGCAGTGTTGTGACAAGAAGCCAGAAGAGTCCAGTCATCGACTTTAAAAGAGTGCCAACCAAACTAAGAAGAGTGCTGGGACATCTTGTAGGTGAAAGAGGACATTTTTGATGGTGGTCCACATGGGAGTAACTGGATTATCCTTTCCGTGTAAATAGTGAGTGACCATTTAGGCAGCGTTCCATTCAGCTTATTTTTTCGCTTATTACTTATTCTTATTATAATCAGACTGGACCAGATTAGAAACAACTTTAATTATAACTGCAACCAAATCAGACTAGACCAGATCAGATTAGATCACATCAGACCAGATCATATGATTCATATCAGATCTTCAAAAAATCAAATGGGGTCAGATCAGATCAGGCAAACGGAGCGCACCCTTAGATAGGTATAGGACTAGTTTAGGTATTAGCTGATGGCTCTTAGCGGTTTTTTTGGCTAATTTGAATGGCTGGTTGAGTTAGTTGTTTTGACTCACTGGTTATATTACGGAGTAGCTGTCAAGAAAAAGTTGTTTAGCAGGCTTAGTTGTTAATAAATACCTGTTTATATAATCGTAGTACAAATTACATTTTAGAACATGCTTCCATATGTGTTGAATAATGTTTTATTGTAAATACAAGAAATCAAAACTTACTGGTTTTCTTTGTTTTGTTATTGAAATTTTTGTGTCTAGCAATTTATTAATATTAGCTTTATCATTTAGAGGTTGGTTAGGCATAGCGCTAGTGGATGAGAAGTTGCGGAGATATATGAGGCTTACGTTGGTAGGGAGGAGTAGGGGAAGGGGTAGACCTAGGAAGAGTTGGAAGGAGGTGATTAGGCATGACTGAGAACTTCTTGCCCTTACGGAGGATATGACCTTAGATATGAGCGTTTGGAGAGCTATGATTAGAGTAGCTGGTTAGGTGCCATAGGCTAGGGGGTGGTCTATTGTACTTGATTTTCCACATTTTTTACATTTCATTTTTGAAATGACCATTCATGACTCATGAGCATTGCATTTCAGTAACAGGTTCATATGTGTTCCTATTATTGATTCCTTTGTGCGATACATTGGTTACTTCTGTTCTTCTGACGAGTTTTTAAGCATTCTCTTTTATAGTTAGTGTATTCATTTTGTGTCATTATTTTGCAGTATTTTGATCCAGCTCTCATGTCATCTGCAGAGAAAATGAAGTTGGAGCTAAAGAAAGTCAGAGATGAATTTAAAATGTCAGAGTCCGATTGTGGCTCTGCTCGTGTTCAGGGTAACCGTTTATGAGTTTTGTTAAGGATATGGATTTTCTCCACTCAAAACTGTGTACCATTGCAGGTTTTGATTGTAAGTTATTACACTATGTCCTTGCTATCAAATAATTTTATTTCATTCCACTGCAGTAGCTCAACTCACCACCAAAATCAAACACCTATCAGGTGTTCTGCATAAAAAGGTATGTCGTATCTGGACAGTGGATATGTAATTGTATCGTAATTTTTTTCGGTGTTTCAAAGATAGAGAAGGTGCTGAATTGTTTAATTACTACGTAGTAGCAATAGAAAAATGAAATAAAATTTAATAAAATCATTTGGTTAAGTAGAACAGAACTATGACTGTAGTTGATAGACTTATAAATTAATGGTTACTTGTTGCATTTACACGTTGTTCTTGGCTTTATGATTTCCTTACCAAGGATGTGACCGAGATTAAATCCTTGGCAGTCCTCTCCTGTTGCTCAACAGCACATTGTACTTGATGAATTAGATTTGGTCGCCTCTTGTTCCCTTCTCCAGTTTATTATTATTAATTCAAATTTTATCCGATGTTTCTTAGGATAAACATTCTCGAAAAGGACTTCAAGCAATGGTCGAGAAGAGGAAGAAGATGTTGAAGTATCTCCGGAGGACTGACTGGGACTCGTACTGTCTCGTGCTATCTAAGCTTGGCCTCCCTGAAAAAGATTACTACAAGGAGTAAACTGCCACATGCTCAACTCTTTGCAAGCTCGGGTTGGAATCGAAGCCTTTTTTTTGTGAATTGTGGCTGTCACTTATTTTCCTACCCCCCACAGGTTCCCTAAATTTTTTTTTCTAACCTTGCTTGAATGCACTTTTGCAAAAATAAATTTTTTAGAAGTACACTTTATGGCTATGTAATGTAGTTTCTTGTTTGGTTTTTGTTCATTTTAAAGATCTGATAGTGGTGTACTGTTTTATATGACATAGTTTCCACTATCAATCAAGTTTCCTTAGGATACTAAGAACGTTTGAATGCGGAAAGACTAATGCGTTTTAAGTTTGAATTTGCCTTTAGAAATTTTTTGTTGGGAAATGAAATGTGATTTTTTCCCTTTTAACATATAGTCCCACTCTCTTAAAATTAATTTCTCAGTGTGACTTTTGTAGTCTAACTTTGTAAACTTTGACCGTATGTTAAAAAAATGCTATTGAATTTTCATATAAGTTTGTTTTTAATAAACTTATCTGAAACATAGTTTTGAAATATATTATTTTTTTGATGTATATTTATATAAAAATAAAGATATTAATAATTAAAATGTTATTTTAGAAACCGTGAAAATAGAAATTAATTTTAAAATAGAGAGTATTTAGATTTGTTGGTGATACTCCGTATAAAATAACCTTCCGTTCGAAAGTGGAATATGTGTTAGAATTTATACTCGAACGTGACCCATTTCATTTTAGGATAAGCACACATGACACAAAATGTCCAGTCAAAAGTATCATTTATATTCTGAGAGGAATGGCTAAGATTGTGTTCTCTTTGTTTGAATATATTAAATTTGATTTAAATTTTCTAAAGTTGATCTAATGCGCATGTATCTTATAATCCGATTCTAATGTACATAATTTGATTTGCTTATAGTGAAATTTAAAACTAGTATTTCACCTGTGCGATGCACGAGAATATATATTCTATCAAATTTTAAATTATTTATATTAGAAAAATGTAACAAAATCATTTTTGGTAAATTTAGCAAATGTGTAATGTATAATTTTTATTTTACTTATAGACAATTAGCGCGTTATTAACGGTCTAGAACGATAGTAGATTAGATGAATTATCCATCAGAGATCTATTACGTTAATTTCAATACCATTTAACTCATCCAATATTATATATGTTGAATTAAATTCTTCATAAAGAATACTACTCTTTATAAATAAAATGATAAATTCAAATTTTTATGATCTTTGTGAGATATTCTGTACTCAAAAATAAAATTCTCCCTTCTTTTCTTATCTAAATAAGATGAATGACTAATTATTTTTATATTATTCATTATTTACCTGCTCATCTACTATATATATAAAAGCCCATGAGAAATCAATGCCAATTACAATTCCCAATTTTCCCGCCAGATTTCTTCATCCAATGGCTGAATATAGTTTTTTAGACATGGCATCATCCAATGAAATCTCTATCTATAAAGATATACAATCAGTTCTAAACAAAAGAATATTATCCCCACATCAAGAATTCTAGTACATGATATCTCCAAAGAGTCAGTCCAAGCCAAGTAGTTCACTAATGTAATGACAAAAGAACTGCAAGTGCAATGGATATCACGCCATATTGTAACTGGCAGGTATTGTAACAGCCTCTATTTACTGAAACTATTCCACCTGCAAATGTGTAATATACCACGGCTGCAAAGGAATGATAAATCACATAATTACGAGACATACATTGAACATGGTCATTGTACTACACAACCAATACCCATTACAGGAGCTAAAGACCAGTCAGTACTAAGAAGGGAAACCAACATATATTATGCCATTCAAGTCATATAAAACCATTCATCACAGCCTCTTATTTATTAAAAAGATTCCAGCTTCGTAAAGGAAATAAGTGCTACAAAAATATGATGAAATCAATAAATTACAAGACATGCTATGAACATGGTCTCTGTACTACACAACAAATACCCATTACAAGTGGTAAAGACCAACAAAGTCAGTTCATAGTACATACGAAGTAGAAAACATCTCTTCCATAAAATCCTTGTGTTAAAGTTTTAACCCAACACACTCCATTGGGTGTATAAATACCATTCCAATCTAACACACTACACACCCTTCCACTTTTATATTAGATTCCCCTAAATTCTTACACTACTCTGATTTAATTAGAATTAGCCTTACAGTTTTCAAAAATGCCTGCCCTTTGGACGTGGTTGATGGATTTAAAACCATCTACCTTTGAGCCAATCTAAAATTAAGATAAATTTGTTCCTACGATCTAATGTCCTACAAGAATGCTGGAGAAGTTTATGCACATGAGTGTATTTTTCACGATAATGAGGTATTCTTCTTCAAGACTTGTGTGGCTAGCCACTTTTCTAAAATATAGTATTAATTATTTGAAATTTTTTTAGGGGAACCACATCCTTGCAATCTATCAAAAGGATGAAATACCAATGTTTGGAGCTACACCAAAAGAAGGGAAGTTATATACAATAAGTAATCATGCAATTCTATCAAATAACAAGCCTCACATTGTTTCAAACAAATTTAAGTTAACACTTGGTAAAAGGACTTAGAGATTTTGGATGAACAATTCCCTATGCATTTTTTCAATCTGAAACCATTTGGAGAGATTAATGCGTTGGAAAGTTTTGAAAATGCTCTAATGTTCTATATTCATGGAATCATGGTCATGTTCTATATTTCAATTTTAGAAATATTTGTTTTTAAATTATGAACCAGAAAGAGGATATAAAAGATATGCTCCTTTAATAAAAATTACTAACTTTTTATATGCTCTTCTTTTACAGGTTTTTGAAGACAACAATGTTAGCAAATTAATCTAAAAAGCCATTTTTTTCAAGAAACGTAAATTGAAAATTCTGGAAAGGTCCAGTGATGAAGAAAATAACAAAATCTGGGAAAATATGTGGAACCAAACGAAACAACTGACAAACAAGAGTATAATTATTCTTTACTTCTTCATTTAATTTTGATATCATATATGAAAAAAATTCCCATTATTATTATAAAATATAATTTATACATTAAAAAAAGATGAAAAAGTGTAGATAATAGCTTTCCGAAGACATAGAGATTTTAATGAAATGTTCTTCGACCAGTGTTTAACCCTGCTACGTATACCGTTGTATAGATCCACAAAAATATATTAAAAATTTAAAAGCACAGCAAGTTCTTTAGATTTGTACAGACCAAATTTCATGCCTTTTTGAAAAAAAACTTGATTTTTAAGATCTAAAACTCGAAAAAAATACAAAAATGCAGATAAATGGCATATAAAAAAACAGAGCAATTATGTTAGATCTTGAAAAATGAAACCGCATGAATGTTTTAAAAAAACTGAAATTTTAAAAGAAAAAATAAAAATGTTTCTATATACATAATAATAATAAATACTTTAATACTGTATTTGAGAGAGAGAGAGATGATTACGGATGAGCGGAGACAAATGATGAAGACGATGGTCGAGAAAGAGAGGATCGTAGCGGCAGAACTTAAAAATAGGGTTAGGAAAATTCGTTTTATATTTAACTTTTTGGGCCGGGAAAGTAACTTGGGCCTGGCCAATGATTGGGCTAATATTCTTGTTTCTATATATACACACATAAATATATTCCTAATTGTTTTCTATTCCTATAGATAAAAAAATATTTTGACAATATTTTATAAGTTAACTCTGCTAAACTATTTGTGTGTGTGTGCGTGATACATACACACACACACACATACTATATACAATTTCAATTTTATTTATTTTGATGTCAAAATTTACCAAGTTTGATGGAAAATAGTCAAATATGAACGTATAAACAAATACTCAAGGAAGGAGAAATATATTTATTGGATTAATATTTACTAGGTTGGAAAAAGCATCGATAAATTATATGAACATAATTTACTCCCTCAAAGTATAATTCAATTGCATGTGAACTATTCTCACGGTTAAACTTTAATCAAATTCTTTTTCATTTTATTTTGTGATTTTATTCAATCATATAGTCATGTCCCCATTATATTT